GAAAAAAAAAAAAAAAAAAAAAAAAAAAAAAAAAAAGAAATAGGGAATCTCAAAACCCACCGCAGACATACTGAATCAGAATCCTTGGATGATTAATTTGCACAAAGTTTAAAAAAGCATTTCTGTAAGAGATCTTATCTCTTAGAAGGGCTCCCTGTACATTTGTAAAGCTACATGACTACACCAGTTGTTGGGTTGAGGCAAATCTTAACTAAAGCCAAAATGTTTCATTGTTTTAGTTATACTAAGTTTCCATTTATACTGTCAGAGCTAGGGCTCAGATCCTTCAAACCCATTGTACAGACTAGGTCACCAGACCCCTCACATGCAGGTTCACGCTAGGTAATTGGTACAGATCCTGGGAACCACTGGCAGATAACACGAGCTCAGTCTGCAGCAGCAGCAGCCTCCAGCAGCTGTAGTGGTCTCCCCATCGCCCCCCCACCCCCGGGGACATCCTGGGAGTGAGGGGCACTGTGGATCAGAGCCACTCATCCTTTATACTTAAGTCCATAACCCAGGACACCTGGGTGCTCATGCACAATTAAATTAGACAATAACCAGGGAACACCTGGGCACACATGCATATTTACATCAAATGCTCGGCAAGATTCTGAACATCTGAGGGGCCCGGACCATTTTCCTTCACTTTCCCAACAACATTCTACCTTGAATCGAATTGATGCCTGGCCTTTCCCAGTTCCCATAGGCCAGTGTAGTTGTTGATGCTCTTTCTTTTTTCTCTCTCTCCCGTGCTAACCACAGCTGAGAAGAAATGGCTTTGGAAAGAATGGCTTCTTGCAGAGCCGCAGTTCCAGCCTGTTCTCCCCCTGGAGGAGCACTTGTAAAGCAGAGTGTGAGGACTCAGACACGGAAACCAGTAGCAGTGAAACATCAGATGACGATGCCTGGAAGTAGGCATATAAATGCTCACAGTTAAATCTGACCCAGTAAACTCAGCTTGCATGTTTAGGGAATATACAAAAGAAATTCTTTTCCTTTTCTTGAATTGTTGAATACTTCATGCACAAGGGAAATAATCACATCCCAAAGAGAGAGCTATTGGCTTGTTTAGCATTTTGTTGTGTTGTTCTTTCCTGTTATCTGCTTAATAGAAAGAAGTTTGTGTGGTGGGAAAGATTTTTAAAATATATATACACACACACAGTATATATGGGGCGATGCACAGGTGGGAGCTGGCAGTGCAGAGAGGAGAAGACACTGGTCTGCAGCAACAGCTCCTACTACCAGCCCTTGGCACTCACCCCTGTGCTCAAGCAATCATTGTCAATGACAAAGTGACTATTGAAGTTATAATTGTATTAAATTAATGCTAATAATTTGGATATTTTATTTTATTTTTGGCTGCTCGGGTAACTTTAGGCCTTAACCAAGCATATGTGGTTTTGGGGTTTTTTTTTTCTTTTTCCTTTTTGGGTACAGCTGTAAAATATTTGGATATAGGATATGTTGTGTTATTCTTGCAGCCTTGATATTCAGGGTGGATTGTAAAATATAAATTTTTGTGAGATTTCAAAGATTAAGATTATTTTGATAACATTATTTACAGATTTAAAAGATGTGGTTATCACAGGTCTGTTGAGGGGGGAAACTACTGCATAAAATAACTAACTTGGAATAAATATTTTGCATCAGTTTGGATTGTGTTGTGTGAGAAGCATTTTTTTATTAGATTGAATGGATTATTTTTTAAGGGGAATATTTTTTAGAAGTCGGGGAGGGGGGGAAATCTGAATTTAGACACATTTCTCCTTTTAGCAGATACTTTTTTAAAAGCAGAAAAACCTGTGCAATAAATTATCAGTAGTAACGTCAAGAACCAAAGTTTCCTTCCTGAAACCATTTTTCAGTGCCCACGTATTTACCAGTGTACCTACTTTAAGGAAGATTCATGCCTCAGTTTTCCCACTGAATAAGAATTTGCAGGGAAAAAGACTTAAGTCAGTGCTGGTTAAGTGGCCTGTGGAGGCAATTTTTTTTTTTTTTAATTCAATAAATACTTCCCAAACACCTATTGTATGTCCCAGGCATTGTGTAAGGCTTTTGGGGATGCAAGGAGTGCCCAGCCCAGCAGGGGAAAGAATAAAGTTATGTTAGAAAAGATGAAATTTCAGGGTAAGATCTGATGGATAAGTAGAAGTTTAACAACAGACATCTCGCACTGGCATCCTTTGGCTTTCCCTACAGTAATTAGTCCCTAATGGATATAGAGGACTCTAATGGGAGACAAGCAGAGGAGTAATGGGCCTGATTGCATGTTAGAAGAGTAACTGGTAGTGTGGGTTCTGAACCAGAGGGAGCAGAGGCTAAAGACAGACTAGCAAGACATTTGCTAGATTCTAAAGGCCAGGAAGGCAGAGACCTTATCTGCCATAGCATATTATAGTACCTACTGCCCGTAATATAAGCAATCCATGTGCAAACTGGCAATGGCAGCTGGGATAGAGCAGTAAGAAATACTACTACACTGAATATAAGATGGCATCTATTTTAAGACATTTTGCGTACTAATAAGAGGAAACTTTCCAGTTAAATTACGATATTCCTTTGTGAATCCTGTCAGTGTTCTTAAAATGTGAAAAAAATGTGCATCTTAGAATCAATGAAATACCATAAAATGAACTAATAATATATTGCAAAAGTATTAAACTTGGAGTTGAGATTTGGGCTTTGCCATTTACTAGCTTTCTCAGAACATATTTCTAAAAATGTACTCCTTTTCTCAGTTGGAATTAATCTAGACTGAGATCACATACTTTGAAACACTGTAACTTGCCCTGTCATAACTTGGGGGAGGGCTGGCCCGTGGCTCATTTGGGAGAGTGTGGTGCTGATAACACCAAGGCCAGGGGTTCGGATCCCATATAGGGATGGCTGGTTAGCTCACTTGGGAGAGCATGGTGCTGACAACACCAAGGCAAGGGTTAAGATCCCCTTGCCAGTCATCTTTTAACAACAGCAACAACAAAAAGAATTCCCAAAAGGGCAGACTGCCTCCTCTTCAGGTGTTCCCTGGACTGGAGAATGGCACTATCATTTAATCCATTTAGGAATACAGCAATGAAAAAGACACTTGCCAATTAATGGCCAGTGATGGAGTCAATGAAGTAATACGGGCACAGCTAGTTAGGAGGCAACTGTTTGTTACCCTTTATTATAAGCAACGAAACCAGGGTGCATTACAGACTTGCCCAAACTCATGCAATGAGGTGGAACAAACGTTGTGACACTTTTTCAAGCCAGGGGCTCCTGCCAAAAGTGACCACAGCTTCCCCATCCATTCTCCTGACCTGCCCAGGCTTGTAGTTGCTGCCCAGGGAGCTAAGGCTCCTCCCCAAACAAACATAAAGATCTTGTAGACCCAAAAGACCTGGTCTTTCCTTTCCGCTCTGGCTTTCTCTTTTATCCTTCTCTGCCTTTCCCCTGCCCTCTGTCCCGTCTTCTGCAGGTCTCATCCCATGGCCTCCCGTTCTGGGGAAGCAGGGCTCTTGCACTGTGGGTCCTGTGACATGGTTTTCCGGTCCTGGGCCCTGCTGGCCACCCACACTCAGCGCTTCTGCATTGGCCGCCTAACCCAAGGGACGACACTAGGAGCACAGTCCTCAGTAGCCACTGAACCACGGAGTGCTGTGGTAAGGGCTGCCTCCGTGGCCACGGGTGAGTATTCAAGGGAGCCGAATCCTCAGGACTTCTCATCCTATACTCTGTCCCCAGGTAGTGCCACAAGAAGTCCAGGAGGCCAGCCAATCTACTCTAAAGAGTTTAACAGAGGAGGTACGGCCACCCGCCTTTCCCCATGGCTCAAAGTATAACCTGCAGATCATACGTGGAAAGAGTACCCCAACACGGAGGTGGCGGACCACTGTTACCTCCAGGTGCGGTGGCTGCGGCTATCCCTACAGGAAATGCGACCCTGGATAACACAAGGGTCCGCGGCGCCGCCTCAGCCCACCGCCTGCCAGGCTGCAGGGAGCCCCGGGGAGCGGCTGCGGGCGCTGCACCGGACTCGCTCAAGGCGCGTAGCGGAGACAGAAGCCCAGAGCCGGGCGCTGGAGCGATGCGGCGAGGGTGAAGGAGAAGCGGGGGAGGGACAGGGACACGCTCCCCTCCATTTGGCTTAAGGTGGTTTGGACCGTTCTGACTCGGTCCCTCTCTCCCGCAGAACTGCGCCGGCGCCTCCAAGCTGTGGCCCGGGCGCGGGACGGAATATCTCGCCTATTCGGGCTGGAGCGGGAGCTTCGAGAACTCCGGGCAGAGGCCGGGCGGACGCGAGGAAATCTAGAGGTGTTGGGGGCGCGTGTTCAAGAGCTGCACTCCCAGCCGGGGTGAGACCCGAACCAAGCCGGGACTGGGGGCGCGCGGCTGGGGCGGGGCGTGACGGGAGGGCGGGGCGGCTGGAGGCCAAGGTTAACGTCCTTGACGCGGTCTCGCCGCACGTCCCCGCCCACCCTAGGACCGGGTTGAACGCCTGGCTAGAGGCAGAACTCTATTGTCCGGTGCTCCAGGCCAACCCAGGGACTCTGGCTGCCGAGATCGGGTGAGGCCCGGGGCCCGGGACGGGCAAGGGGAGAAGCGTTCATCAGTCCTGGAAAGACCGCCTTCGTGTCCGCCCCCTCCGTAGGGCCCTACGGAAGGCCTACATTCGAGGTGGGGGCCGGGACCCCAGCGTTCTGGGCCAGATGTGGCAGATGCAAGTGGAGGCCTCAGCACTGGAGCTGCGGCGGTCGCGGACACGCAGGGGTGAACAGGAGGAGGGGCCAGCCAGGAGGGCCTCTCGGCGCCATGGTCTTAGTCGTGGGAGGAGAAAAGGGCCTGAGGGTGGGCGCCGTTGGCATGGTCAAACGCCTCAAGGTAGGAAACCCACATGGTCTTTGTGACCGCGGCTAGAACGTGAGCTGACAAAGTCTAGCCTTTTCCTAAGAGGCCTAACGCTGGAAAGCTGCTCGGAGCCGTACCCACCCGTCACCGGTGTCAAAGGTGACAGGTCAGATTTGTTCCTCGCAGGAAGGGGAGGTGCCACCTCGGGGGAGCTTCTAGTAGTGGAAGCTGAAAACCGGCGCCTGGAGGCAGAAATTCTGGCCTTGCAGATGCAGAGGGGCCCGGGCAGGGCGCCCTGGGGTCAGTGCGCACCCCTACCTCATCCCACCCAGTCCTCCCCAGGTTTCCAGCAGGCCCGTCAGGGGAAGGGGGTGCATGGGGAATGAAGCTTTGTGCCTCGTCTGTTCATGTCCACCCTCATCTCAACGTGTGTGTCCCTTTATCCCCGTGACTCTGTGGATCCATTTGTGGGCTCGGCTCTCGGGGAAGGGGATCTCAACCTAGTTACCTGCTTCATCCCGCTCAGGGGCGCCCTAACTCGTCCTCTGCTCCTAGGGCCAGCGGAGCCCCAACTCCTGGCCAGTCCCAGCCCACGCCTGAGGGGGAGGAGAGATCCTCCACTCCTCCTGCCGCCGATGGCGCCCCCGCAGCCGCCAGCTCCAGGCTCCACCGATGTCCAGTTCTTGGGTGGCTTGGGAAAGCCTGTGAGGACCCAGGGGGTGGGGCAGGCAGCTCTGCTCTGTGTAGTTGGGGGAGCATGGGAGCTAGGAGGCTTTCTGGAAGAGTCAGCTCTTTTCCTTGCAGCCGCAGCTTCCTGGAACCATGACCAGAGACCTGGGCCTGGACCCACAGTTCCTCCTGCCCACATCTGATACACTGGGCCCTGCACCATATGACCCCGGGTGAGACCTGCACCCTCCTTTGAGATCCTCTGTGACTTGACCACCTCTGCTTAAGGGGACCCACTACGGCCAACTAGGGTTGGGGAACTGGCTGAGGAGAGGGAGGGTGAGAAGAGTTGTTTGTGTGCTTGGATTTTTGTGCCCCAGGGCTGGCCTGGTCATTTTCTATGACTTCCTGTGGGGCCTCGAGGTTTCTTGGATTTGGGTGCAGCTAATGACTGGTTTGGCCAGAGATGGACAGGATACAGGACCGACCACAGCATTGCCCCCAGCCCTTTGCTTACCCCCACCTCCAGCTCCTGGGCTCACAGGCAACTGTGCCATCCTCGCCAGCAGGCAACCTGTGCCCAGGTCAGTAGGTAGGGATCATGACCTTGGTACTCTGCCACAACTGAAGCTTGTCCCTCATTCTGCTGTTTTCTCATCTGTGTATGGGGACCTTTGGCTCTGAGGGCTGAGTCCAAGGAAGGGACTGCAGCTCTGGCTTCCAACACCTCTGGTTGTTCTACAGACTGCCACCGTCACCATCAGTATCCTTGGTCTGTGAGCTACAGGCCTGGCAGGGGCTGGCAGGGGCTAGAGCACCACAGCCAAAGGCTTGGGCCTCACTGGTGCTATTTGACCAAGATCAGCGGGTGCTAAGTGGCCGTTGGCGCCTCCCACTTCGGGCTCTTCCTCGGGACTCCAGCCTTAGCCTCCGGCAGCTGAATGGGATTCCCCAGGTGAGTGTGGAGGGTGGGAACTGGGTCTCCTCCTCTAAGGTGTAGGTGCAGTACAATTTCACCTCTCCCCAGGCAGGTCAGGCTGAGCTCTTTTTGCGGCTGGTGAATGCGAGAGACACAGGTGTCCAGACACGGGCGGAGATCAATCCAGCAAGTGCCCACGAGTACCAGTACCCACCCATGGTGAGGGCCCAACTGGAGCTAGGGACACCACAGGTATGAATGGCATGGTTAACAGCCAGCCTTTATTGACTGCTATGTGCCAGTCACTACCTCATTTGATCCTCACATCATCTCTATTACTATGTAACAGACAGAGAAATCAAAGCAAGACCAGGTTAATTTGGTGCACAGTAAGTAGTTAAGGTAGTCTCACTCCAGAAACTGTGCTCTTAATCTCTAGTCTTGTTGAAGACCTGTCTTCTCCCCATTTCACAGGTGTCCAGCTCATCTTCACTGGAAGCCAATTCCCTCACTCCCACAGCTGGCTTTGCTGATCCTCTACCTCCTGCAGAAGAGCCCCTTGGCAGAGTTAAAGATAGACACAAGGGTTTGGGCCCTCACCACAGCTTTGACCCACCCCCACCAGGTTTCTGAGCCCAGGCAAATGTGAATATGAGCATTTTCACATGCACGGGACTAGGGATTAGACTAAGGCCTACTCCAAGACCTGCAGATTTACTATTTTCTGACATAGGGCCTAGAAGAAAATAGGTTATGGGTGCAAAATATGAGCTCCAACCACAGCTTTGCCACCTCCTACAAATACTTGACCTTTCTGTACGTTTTCCTTTTGCAAAATAGATTAACATGAGGATTAAATGAGTATGTTGGGCATTTACCATATTGCCTGGCACATAGGAAGCTATCAGAAAGGTGACGGGGGTGAGGGGTATTCTTTAATTCCACCTGAAGGAACTCTATCTAAAGTAATTCCCACCTGGTTCTTGCCAAAGCGAGTTTTTTTTTTTTTTTTTTTTTTTTTTTTTTCATGACCGGTAAGGGGATCAAAACCCTTGGGAAAATTTAAAATCACACATGTGGCTTGCATTGTATTTCTATAATACAGAACTGGTCTAAAGCATATTTAAAAATATAGTATATTATTTTCTTTTTTTTTTTTTTTTGTCTTTTTTCCGTGTCCAGCAACGGATCGCAACCCTCAGTGTCGCCCCCGTACCGGACCGGGGACCGGCAACGGGATCGCAATCCTTGGCGTCGCTCCCGCGCCTCGCTCAGCCAGTGAGCAGGAACCGGTCTGTATGTGGGATCCGAACCCTCGGGCGGGAGCGCCGCCGCGCTTCCCAAGCGGCGCACTATCCAGTGCGCCACCGGGCCGGCCCACCAAAGCCAGTTTTATTGCCAAACTTTTCCATTCAAATCCCAGCTTCCTCAGCACTGCTGCCAGGAAGTCTTCCTGGCTCACAAGGTCCCCATAAACAGAGTTCCTGATCCTTGCACTATTCCAGGGTAGGGCCTCAGCCCAATGAGGTTCCTCCCAAGTCGGGTCGCATATGAGATCTAGCTAAAATTAGATAACTAGGCCTAGTCCTAGATCCCAATGTCAACCTAAGAAGGTCAAGGGCCTGGGAGCCAAGTATGTCATGACTGTCCTGACCAAAAAAGAAGAAAGAAGCCTCAGGACATGGAACATACAAGGGCACCTTCAGGAAGGAAGTTCGAAGCCAGAGATTCTGCAGCCATTGAGTTACCGTGACCAGCCCAGAAAAACTCCAACCATTTTGTATTATTTTGAGAAAAAAAATAAACTCTGAAAAATGGGGTTCACTTGGGGGTCAGCATAGCTCCCTCCCTTCAACACTGGATGTTAAAAACAGGTTCTAACCTACTGTCTGTCCAGTACAGGAGAGTAGCCTTATGAGTACTAGAATTATTAAGTTAAATTCCCTTAGGTAATGTAGGACAGGCACTGTTTGGAATTCAGATGCAAATAGTGCCTGGCCCATAACAGGTTCTTAAACTAAGGGTCAGGTCAGAAACAGCTCAGTCAGGGTCTTACACAAGCCCTACACCTTGGGTGTGAGTCCAATGAGATGGCATTAATACCAGTGCCCTGATCACCAGCCTCCTTGGACTAGATGGGCTAGTTTTTGCCTTTCAACCCCACATCCCACACTGAAACACTCCAAGGCAGCATAGGATCCCACTGTAAGATCTTTAAACACAATTCCAGACCAGCAGCTGTTTAGCGTCTTTATTTGAGAACTCAAAACTGCAGACAAGGTAACAATTCCGAGTGTTGATGTAGGCCTTTCTATACAGAAAATAACGAATGTAATTCAACTAGCCAGCCTCCCCACAGACTCTTCCAACCACATCCAAAGTGGCCATCACCATTCCCTCAGCCACTTTCAAACCAGAGAGCTCAATTCTCTGATTTAACATACCAACTACTTTCCTCAGGGCTCACTTTCCCAAGTTTTCTTCCAAGTTCTTTTTCCTGACAGGATTATGGCTCCAACTGGAGACAAGATGGATAGAAGACAGGTACCACCCAAGGCCTGGTTTACAGCCAAAGTTCATCATCCATTTTCGGTACCAAAGAGCAATATCTTCACCAAGTCTTGTTTTTGGAGTCTCCATCCAGGATAGCACCACACTGAAGGTTTGCAAGACAGCTGGTTTCAGTCAAGTATTTGAAAATAGAAAAAAATATAGCACCATTGGATGTAATCACGTCCATGTTAGACAGGAATTGGGATTAGAATCTCCAACATGGATCAGTACAGAGGCAAAAAAAAAAAAAAAAAAAAAAAACTTTGGCCACCATTTTAAACCTGGAGTGCTCCAAGGCACAGCTTCAGCCAGTATTTAAGAAAAAAACCATCAAAGCCTCAACCTTTGCTTACAATCTTTATTGAAGTTATACAAAAAGAATCCCCCAAAAGTGAAAAAATACATTATATACAAAAACGCTTTCCCTTGGGAGGAAGGCTCTGCTCCCTCTCTTAACATGCAGTGCTTTCAACTGTAGCTCCAGCCTCCACTGTTCCCTCCAATGCTGCTCGGCTTTCACCCTGATTCTCAGCCTGGAAGACAAACAGTGACCCTAGTTTGAGCCATTACATCTTATATAACCAAGCAGGCCTCAGTCAGGAAGTAAACATGGATCCCCCAAACTCTGCTTTGCTCCCTATACTAGCAGGGCAGTAACCACAAAGAACAAATCCATTTCTCGAATTCTGTGTGATAATTGGGCTGACAGAGCCAATAATCATACATTCATTAGAGGGGACGTGTGGTATATAGGTTCTGCTTGTCAGACATCCTAAACTCCATAACCAAACTGCTTCCTGCACAATCATTGTGAGGGTTGCACTCAAGCAATCCAAACAAGCTCAAAGTGGGAAGCATGCACTTTGGGAAGACTGAGAACAAGGGGATGAGGCAAGAGACCAAGCCCTGCTTAACTGCCCACCTCCTCCTCCATGTTTTCCGAAACTTCATTTCCACTGGGAGCAGCATCCCCACTGCCTCCATTCATCTCTGGCTCTTGTTTGGCTTTCTTTGCATCATCTTTCCGGGGGCTTTCTTCCTCTGGTTTCCTCTAAAGATATAATTGTGAAGGCTTCACAAATGTGCTTAATGTTTGTAAAAAGACAAGTGCAAAACATTTTCTTAACCCCCATGATCCTGAACAGCAGGATTCACAGCTCTTAGGGCCTCTCCCCCTAGCCACAGGGGGCACATGCCAACCTGTACTCTACAGGATAAACTGTCTATCCCAATATATCAACAATTCAGCCTCCCTACTGCTGGAAGCACACTGGGGTAGGGTGGGGGTGAGGAGTAGATGTGAACTGTAACCAAAGCATATTTGAATTCTTATATTTGAGTTAGGAAACAAAGCATGTTAACTCTCTCCCCCAACAGAAAAGAACTATTAGAACTACAGGCAGAAGGCAGACTCACAGGAATTTAAGTATCAGCAGGCCTGCTGCTGAATGACTGCTATCAAAGAAAACTTCCTAAAATCGACTCATCTGACCAATCCTTCTCAGCAGCTTTCCTAATAGTCCTCGAGCTAAGAATAGACCAGAGTTTGCTGAAGAGGTCTTCAATTAATATCTTCACTCACAAATCCTCATCACCTTTGCAAAATTTTATTGCTTCAACTATTAGGAGGTATAGCAAAAGTATTCCTCATGTATCTTTTGCAACCAAAAGGGGAAAAAAAAAAAAGACTGGGAAAAGGTAGAAAAGAAACAACCATGCAGTTGTAGGTTTACCTTCTTTCTGACAAGGTGAGAAATATCAGTCACACAATTTGATGAGGAAGCACCATCTGTTGGCTTTCTACTGCCAATCTGGCAAAAAAGAAGTCTTTGTTAGCAATGTACAAGCTATACCAGGCCAACATCGACAACATAAAATGAAAAATACACCTCAATACCCACCATGGAGACTGAAGAGCCTCCTCCACTAGGAGTGAAACCTGAAGTAGAGCTCTCCACCTGTGTGAGAGATGACAAACCCAAATGGGTTCCAGGATAGAACCAAGGTCACCCACAGTCTTAAAACAGGTACCTATCATCTAAGTACCTACTTAAGATCTGAAGAGCTAGTGGCCTCCATAAAAAGCAGTAGCAAGATCGTCCACTCCACCCCACCCACTTGCGTCCACTCACTCTCCACCTAGGGCATGGGCAGAGTGTAGATATTAAACTAACCCTCCATATCCTAACTGCAGGGTAAAAAGCTCCCTGACATCCTGGTAGCCAAAAGCAGAGCCAGGCAGTTTGGGATTAAAAGCCCTCCATGCCTCACTAATCTATACAGAGGAGTTCTCAGAGATGGAAATAACTTGTAATAAAACCTCGACAGTCTGGCTCCAGAGCATATTCTGTTACCCACTATACCATTTAATAGGAATAATTAGATGAGTTCTCACGTTCCCTTCGATCACCAACTCATGATGAAAACTTCCTAGCAAATGGAACATTAACAGTACTAAACATACTATTATCAAAACTTTAAAGGGAAATGGAACCAACCAGAGTAGCTTTCAAAGCCAATTCAGCTACGTTCCCACTACGCTGGGACTCCTTTGCATCTTCTATTTTCTCTCTAATTTCAGGTAGCAGTTCCTTCAGCTCCTCAATTTCTTTCTCATATTCAGTAGGTGATCCTTCAGCCTCCTTCATCCGCTCATTTAGTACAGCTACAAAGAACAGGTAAAGTGATCAGTACAGTGATCAGTACAAGAGGATACTTTTTTTTACCTTATCAATTACTGGATTCATCACATAATCATGAAGCAGCTGGTGCTCACTCACCCATTCTCTTCTCAATGACTTCAATAGATTTGCTGAACTGTGCCACTGCCTCATCATACTGAGAGTTGTACCCATAGGCCAAGCCCAGCTGGTAGTGGGTCTCTGCAAGGAGACGGTCGTGGGCTTCCAGGTACTGCTCTTGCAGGTTTAGGCAAGCCTGGAACTCCTCCACAGCTTGGATATAGTTCTCTAATGTAGAGAAAAAGAAGAGCAAATAAATGGACAACATTTAATATAAAGTACTTCTAGAATTCAGACCCATTCTGTAAGAATGCTCCCCTATTTTACATTTTATTTTTGTTTGTATTATCTCCAAGACCCTTGACTATAAAGAAGGTAAAATGTTCTTAAGAAAACCTACTCTACTTTAAAATATCATTTAGAAGATTGTTCTAGGGAAAATAGGGAACCCAAGCTACTGTCTTTTTAAAGCCAACCACCCAACTTCATCAGTCAGGCTGAATTCTACGAAATTTACTGAGGAAGAATGAAGGGGGGGGGGGATTAGAAGAGGAGAGAGTAAAATGGAAAATATATTACCAGACTCAACACTAACTTCTCCAAGTTTAAGATGTGCCTGTGCAGCATAAAGCTGAGCTTCCTTTGTTTCTTGCCTAAAAGAAGGAAAGTTATTCAGAAACTTTAATAATACTT